GTATATATATATGTGTGTATATATATATATGTGTGTGTGTGTATATATATATATATATATGTGTGTGTGTAAATATATATATATATATAAAAAAAAATAAAAATACAAAATAAAAATACAAAAATGACAAAAGCACATAACAAAATAGTAATTTTGTTATGTGCTTTTGTCATTTTTAGTAGTTTTTTTTGTAAATAGTTTTTGTTCATTTTTATTTTGAATTATTTTAGTACATTAAATGAAATTAAAATAAGAAATGTTGCATTGGCAATTAGTTGAAATAAACAAAAACACATTAAAAACAATAAATACATTTTTAAAAATCAAGTTTTTAGTATTGTATTTTATTTCGGGCAACATAAATGTATTTATGGTTTTGGTTTCAGTTTTAATTGACTATAAAAACCCTGACTCACCAAATTTGTTTTCATGTAAAATTGAAATTTTTATTTTCATGTTTTGCAGATACGGAGCTCACGGTTTAACGCTAAGCAAGGTTGTTCCTCATATTTGTCAGCTGTTAGGAGATCCCAGCAGCCAGGTGAGGGTGCTTTTCTTATTGTGGTCTATAGAGGAACTGCTGCTGACATCCACAGCACTGTGGTTATACCATGGTATAGTGATGGAAATATCATGCTGATTTGATTATCTAACATGTTATTGAACGTTTACTCAATTCAATCATATTTGCATGCTACTTTAAACAAGATATATGGAGTACCACAATGCAATGCAGTGCATTCAACATCTACTACTGTTTTTATTTTAACGTTATATGTATAATTCCAGTGTGATGAATGAAGCAGAAGTAATATCAGCAATCAAACATCTGTTTTTAGTGAAGCCATATGCAAATGTTTAGTGTTGCATATCGTGTAGTTTCACAGAATATTTGCTGGGCATCAAGCAGTGCTTTTGAACATAGTTTTGCAGCGTACTGTACTTCTTTAGTTAAAGGCCTCTGTTAAATAAAAGCCTGGTGTTTGTGGTCAGGTTCGGGAAGGTGCGATGAACTGTCTGGTGGAGATTTACAGACACGTGGGGGAGAGAGTGAGGGTGGATCTGGGGAAGAAGGGGCTGCCGCAGTCACGGTAATAAAGAAATCACTGCCTCATAGCAACAGTGTCATCCACATTTTACAAAACATATTTTATGTAATTTATTAAAAATCTATTTAAAAATTGAGAAATATATTTTTAATTGTTTTAATTTTTAATGATAATTATTTTTACATTTTAACATAATTTTAATTTAATGTTAATGAATTAATGAATTAATGAGTTATTATAAAAATAAAAACATTCATTCATTGATATTTTCTTAATTGTTTTTGGTTTTAATTATTTATAGTGCACAAACCACTTCATAGTTTTAACATTATATACTTTTTATGCTTTATCATTTCTTTTTTACTTTTTTTTTGCTACAGTGCCACCTACATTTTGCAAAATGTAATTTATTAAAATATGAGGAATATTTTTTCGAAGGTTTTAATTTTAACTTTTAAAATGTAATGTAATTTTAAATGAATGATTATAATTATATTTTCTTTATATTTATATTTTTTGTATTTTCTTTATAGTTATCGTTTACTGTGCATAAACCACTTCACAGTTTAATATTGTATATTTTTTATACTTTATAATTTTTTTGCTACAGTGCCATGCATATTTTACAAAACATTTTAATGTCATTTATTTAAATTATTTTTTTCTTCAATTGTTTTGATGTTAATGATAATTTAATTGTAACTTTTTAAAATTCAAATATCATTTTAATTTTAGTGATTATTTTAGCAGTTAGTTATAAAAATCAAATCATTAATTAATTAATATTTTCTCAGTTGTTTTGGTTTGACTTATTTACAGTGCACAAACCATTTAATCGTTTTAATATTGTGTATTTTTCAAATGTATCATTTTTTAAAATTATTTTGCAACAGTGCCATCCACATTTTACAAAACATTTTTAAAATCAAGAATTTTAATTTTAATGCTAACTTAATTTGAACTTTTTCAATTTTAATGGCATTTTAGTTTCATTATAATATTTTTACAATTATTATAAAAATATAACATTAATGAATTAATATTTTCTTAATAGTTTGGTTTTACTTATTTACAGTGCACAAACCAGTTAATAGTTTTGTAATAGTTGTATACTTTTTTTTTTGTGCTATTTATTCCTTTATGATTTATTTAGTAAAAGCTCATTAAAAAGCTTATAGACGAACACGTTTCATCATGAATGGCTGTCTGCTGTGTTGCACATTTGACATAAAATACTGACAGCTTAGTGTTTGTGTTGTAAATCTGCTCTTTTATGCTGTGACTGATGCTAAGAGCTCTAATGAAGATTCTTCTGTGTTTTGTTCAGGTTGAATGTGATTTTCAGCAGGTTTGATGAAGTTCAGAGGTCTGGGAACATGATCCTGTCCTCAGGTGAGTCAGTCCTGTTATATTTGATGTCACACATGATGATCTGTGATCTGTAATAAGATGCTGTCGGCTGTAAATCACTTTCTATCACCGTGAAAACGTATGAAAGTGCTTTCAGGTGCTGTATGAAGTTACCGGGGCATAAACTGTGGTTTCTTCTGTGTGTGTGAAATGCTCGCCGGTGAGATTGTTCCCATTGTTAAGCCATTGTTTCCTCGCTGCCCCAGTTTCATTGTGTGTGTGAGAGAGTGTGTGTGTGTGTGTGTGTGTGTCTGTGTGTGTGTGTGTGTATGATACTGCATATACTCCAAGTCTTCTGAAATCATATGATGTGAAGAACAGACTCTGAAATGTCATTGACATTAATGCTCAGATTCAAAAATATCATCAGACTTTCATTTTTGTGTGAGCTGTTCCTTTAAATGCGAGTGAGGTCAGTAGAGAGGGAGTCTCTGCGGTGTGTGTGTGTGTGTTCAGTCACAAGACTAGAGAAACACACAGCAGAGCTTCATTACTGCGAACCAAGCCTCGTCATGACAGCAGGGGACGGTAAGATCATGTGAGCGTGACTGATGTGCTGCATGTAATGCATGAGGATCAAGTGTTTCAGGGGTTCGTCCTCTGCATCTTCTGAATGTCTCGAGCTCATCTCGTATCTCGTGTTTCTTCAGTTTGTAGGTTGCGAATGGCCCGATGGCTTGAAATCTGCATCATTAGCATATTAATGCTGTTTTAACAGCTCGTTATGTGGCGCTTCGGTTCGTGTGAGTTTGTGAGCCTCGTCTCGGGTATCTGAAGTGCTCTGATGTATTCATGATGATACTCAGTCGTCCGTGACTCAGTTGAGCCTCTTTTTCAGGCTTTAGCTGCTCTCGCATTCATCTGAGGCTCTTCAAGAGCAAAATATTCCTGTTTTCGCCTCGTTCACTAGTGATCGGATGTCTGTCTTTTTGCTTGTGTGACTAACATTTATATAAAGTGCAAAATAAAATGTACAGGAAAAGGTTTGCACAAATTGTACATAAATTGCATAAAAGCGTAGATTGATCTAATGTGAGAGAAAAGTAAAGCTGACAAACCCTTGACTAAATGCGACTTGCTCTGAGTAGTTCTTAAGATATATTCTTAACATTATGCTGTGTTTATGTGAATGATCACACTAGATTACAAAACATTTTTTAATCAAATTAATGCAAGTTTACATTCCACTTGAGATATTTAAATTTCAAATAGAAACGAAATAAGATATTAAAGAGCCATTTTTCTGAAAATTCTAAAACTAAAGCTGAAAATCATAACAAGCGATGTCAGACTTTGGAAACTATTGTTCTCTCCTTAAATATGAAGAGATCAAACTACAGATTCATGAGTTCATCCAAGTTTCACCAAAAGCTTCTGGACGTCATTAATTATAATAGAAGTCAGAAACTGAAGTGAGTTGCTGTTTTTGTCTCTTCTGAGGAAGATTCATTCACTTGTTTGCTAATGAACCACACAGAGAGAAACTTTGATCAGATTTATTAATGTTCATCTGATCTCATTTTGTAAGTGTTTTAATATCTAAATATAGTACATTTAAATATCTAATTTGGGTTCTGTTTTATATGCTGATAACTCAAGTGGATTGTAGTATTTATACTCCTTTCAATCAAGTTTTTTAGGAAAAGTGGTTCTTAAATTTCATATTTAGTTTCTATTTTAAATGTTAATAACCTAATCATATTAATCATATTAAGTCATATTTCTACTCCTCTGAGCAAATTATTAATACCCTTGAAAAGGTTTTTAATCAAGTTCATCCAAATTTAGTTTTTGAATTTTTATTAAATATGTGTCTTAAATATCTTATTTATTTTCTATTTCAAATTGAAATATCTTTAAGTATTTTATTCCATTTCTATTTTAAACTGAAATATCTTTAAATATTTTATTCCATTAGTTTCTATTTTAAATTGAAACATATTGAAGTATTTTATTCCATTAGTTTCTATTTTAAATTGAAACATATTGAAGTATTTTATTCCATTAGTTTCTATTTTAAATTGAAACATATTGAAGTATTTTATTCCATTAGTTTCTATTTTAAATTGAAACATATTGAAGTATTTTATTCCATTAGTTTCTATTTTAAATTGAAACATATTGAAGTATTTTATTCCAGTAGTTTCTATTTTAAGTTTTTAATTCCATTAGTTTCTATTTTAAATAGTAAAAACTCAAATGTAGTTTTTGCAATCAAAATAGCCAAAAAAGCTGCCGTAGCATTAAAAAACAAACCATCGAACACTTGTATTTAGCGCTGACCATTTTGTGCAAATGATTAATTATTATTACAAACCATTAATATGCATGTGTTTTATGTTGCGTCTTGTTTCAGATTCACCTACTTATGTTTTCTGTTCTCATCATCCAGTCTTTCTTGGTTATAAAGATTGATGTTAAAGACTGGGATGGTGTTCATCTTTTTTTTTAATCATCCACCAAGAGAAAATTGAGTGTAATACTATCACTAAAATAAGCACTAGTGATGCATGACTTTACAAACACAAATAAAATCGGTTAATAATAGTCGATAGAGTGTTTCACAAGCAGTAACGGTAATGAGCAGAAAATGAGCAGCGCTTTCCTATGAGGTCTGTGTTTTCAGAGGCTGAATGTTGCTTTTGTCCTGTGTTTCTCAGCTGCCAATTAACATGCCGTGTTGAGCAGAAGTCTGTGTGAATCACAGAGAGACGAGTAGCTTCAGCTTTAGACTGAAATATAAAGAGGTTTGTGCAGCTTAATACGGTCTTAACACCGTTTTAATGAAAGCGTGTGCTTGATGGGGAAACACAGAAGGGATTTCTTGTGTGTGTTTCGTAAGAGTGAAAGTGTGTGTGGGATGTTTTGAGATCAGCCCATACGCACACACACACGCATGCATGCTCACACACTCACACACACACACACACACACACACACACACACAAGCACGCCGCAGCAAAAATAAGCAGCTTTGGATTGGATGCACGGCTCAAATAGGACAATATTTCACCTTCGGTCGGTCCAGCTACTCGTCACCTCATACAAAACACTTTAAGTAGGTTAGAGAGCAATTTGGAGGAAAAATGAGCAGATATTGTGTGTTTTTGCCTTGAAGGAGGGAGAAAGATCATGTTGTTTGATGCATTAATGCACCGTAACATCTGCACACACGCAGATACAGAGCCAAATCATGTCATTATTCACCCTAAAATCAAATGAAAGAGATGAGAAATTATATTTTGCATGAATAAGATAATGCATGTATTTAGGACCATTCAGTTTTTCCCATTATGACTTTATTTTTAGGATAATTAAGCAGATTTAGCCTTCAAATTTTTTTTAAAGTAAAGAGAAAAAAATGCTTTTTTTATTTATACATTATGCAGTGTTTGTTAGATTTTTTCCCCCACCATTTTTAAATAAAGTGAAATAAAATAAAATATCTAAAAAAGTAAACTTATTTTATTTCAGCTAGTTTCCAAGGCAATATTTCGCATTTTGGTTTAGTTTAGTTTAAGTACTAAAAAAAGTAACTAAAAATTATATAGACATATTAAAATATAAATAAATAAAAATGTCAAAAACTGACAATAAAATGATTAAACTTTAACTAAAATTAAAATGGAAAAAAAAAAATACATATATATATATATATATATATATAAACCTATTGAAAATGTTAACAAAAACTATAATAATAAATAAGTAATACTAAAATAACACTGGGTCAGATTATGTTTAATATATCCATCAAACTGATTAATCATTTTAGATTAACAAGTGTTCACTCTTTCTTCCAAAATCTACAGGCAGTCTTATGGATAATGGACGTTATTTTTTTATGTTTTTAGGGTGAGTTCTGATTTAATTTAGTGTAAAAATGACATGTTGGTTTTTGATATTTTGTGTGCATTTCATTATCTTGCATAACAATGCGTAATATGTGTATTTTGGCACAATGTCGTCCGTTCTGGTGTAATAGTGATTTTAGAAACTAGTCAGAGATTCAAAAATGTAATTATTATAGTGATTTATTTCCTTTCCTCTTAATAACTGCCTAATAAGTCACAATTATTTCTATGTCGTTTTATACACTACAGATAAAATACAGGAAAATGAACAGTGTTAATGATGTAAAATGAATCAACTGTGAAACAAATTCAGTTTTTAAGCAGCTCTAAAAAGACAAGTGTCATTATATTCAATATTCAATATTCATTTCAATAAAATTACTGTATAAAACCCAGTAATTATTATAGCAACATTATATTTACCTCTTAAAAATATTCATTTGCCGTATGAACTTTTTTTCTTTTAAACAACTGTTTTATTGAGTTTTCTTTTCAACTAAAGCGTCGTATGAAACGTCCCATTGCATTCACACACAAACTTATTTAGGAGTCTATATAATGGATTTCTTCTGATATTATTCGACATGTTTGAGCTACACCACATATATTGAAAGCTGGGCTTGTGTTTGGTTGCGTAACGTCGTGTTTCTCACATTGCTCTCATTCGGTCTTAACGAGGATTATTAGATTCACTCAGCAGATGAAATCATTACAGCAAAATTAAAGCCCAAATTTTAGCCCTTTGGTTTCAGACAATTTTCTGAATCACGAGCTCAGAAATCGTTGTCAGCTTGTGGCGTTAAACACTGAAAGAGTAGATTTGATCAGTTTTTAAGGAGTTTTTGGTCCTAAATCACAGCATCAGGACTAAATCTGTCTGATCAGCCTGTGTATTGCATGCGGAGATGATCGTTTACTCATATTATTGCTCTTCTTGTGTTGTTAATTTGTCATTTTGATTTTTTTTACCAGATCATATTTGTGTATTTGTTATATAATGTTTGTTATGAAAGTTTAAAGACTCACATAACACACATCAACTTAAAGTGAAAATAAAAATCCATGCAACAATCCATACAAATATTACAACCTACTGCATGCCTAGATAAAAAAAAAATCTGAATTTTA